AAAAAAAAAAAAAAAAGATAAAGTGTAGGGGGAAGGGAGGAGCTGGCCCAGTTGCATAGGGCCAGGCAGGTCCAGAGGCTCGGTTGTGATCCAGGCCAACCAAGCAGGGCTCAGCAGCGTCTGGCATGGCTGGGCTAGCCCAGGTGCCATGTCCTTGCTCCTCTGCTAGATGAGCACCATGCAGGGCTGGGACAGCTCTGACCCCCCAGCCTGTGGCTCCCCAGGCTCTGGGTACATCAGATGACAAGGGGTGCTGAGGCCACAGGGAGGGCAGGAGGCTGTGTAGGGAGGAGAGTGCTTGACAGTCCAGGGAAGAGGGAAATCCACAGGCCTGGCTCTGGCTGAAACCCAAGGGCTTTGTTTTGCAGTGGGGAGGAAGAAATTGGCTGAGAGACCAGGACCATTGCTGGCAGCCTCTTGTATGAGCAGAGGGCCAAGGCTGGTGCTGAACCCAAGGTTCACCCTTGGTGTACTTAGCAAGAGGGATGAGTGGTGCTGGCACATACGTTTCCCGTGACATTGGCCTGTCACAGATCTGTAGCAGGTGCTGCACACCTGTCAGCTCCCAGCCCTGGTGGCAGCCTGGGTGGCAGGAGCTGCCTTTCCCCCACCTCCTCAGGATAGTGAGGTCCAAAGTCAGAGTAACAAAAAACACTGGGGTGGGACTCAGGCCTCCGCCTACACACCTTGAGTGAGGGCCAGTAGGCCTGCGCTGGGCATGCGTCCATGCCTGCGGAGAGCTCCCTGGGGCAGTGTCTGGGTCATAGTCACTCTGCCTAGTGAGTACATGGCAAGGACTGGGGGGCCACAGGTGTGCTGGAGAGGGCAGAGGAAAGTGGAATGGGCCCAGGTCCTGAGGCTGGGCCTGGGCTGACTGTCACATCCTGGCATTGCCTCATTGCCCGGGCAAGATGGGCACGTTGGCTGGCTGCTACCTGGCTCCTCTCCTGGGGCTGCTATCACCAGGGTACAGTGAGGTGCTACTGGCAGAGATGAAAGGAAGCGTGCCCAGGTTCAGGTGCCCTTGGCTGCTGGCCAGCCCATGTTGCTGCTCCCGGAGTGCATCGTGAGCTCCGTGCAGCGCTGCTTGTCCTGGGCCTTGGGGCCAGTACGGCGTGCTCCCTAGGAGCACCTCCAGTCATCAGCCATCACTTTGCATTTTCTGTGTCTCCCTCCATGCTCTGAAATTGGATGGCGATACAGGGTCCTTTCTGTTAATTCAAGGGTGTTCCGGGCAGCACTGACCCTGTAGTGGGTCGTCTTCCCTGGAGACCCTGCGCCCCTGCTGAGCCAGATGAGCCTGGGGAGTGGGGGGGGGCGGGGCGGTGGCGAGCGGGCCCTGCTGCCCACTGATGGGCTGCATTCTCCCTCCAGAGACTGATGGAGAGGCAGAAACGGAAGGCGGACATCGAGAAGGGGCTGCAGTTCATTCAGTAAGCAGCGCGGGTGAGGCGGGCGGGCTGGGCG